ATCGTGTACAAAGGACCAACAATGAATAATACAATGAAAAATCGTGTCTAGATGCAGTTGAGGGTAGAGCCGCAGTGAGAGCGGCTTACCTATGTTTCTTTGCTTATGTCCGTGTGTTCGAGTGTGAACGCGTCTTTTTACGGCTCATCTAATATCGATAGACTGGAAACAGCAAAAGAATACAAGAAGTTTCGGTTAAAATTTCGATCGATGGAAAGCACCCTGATTACTATTGCAGCGTTCCATTGCATTTCTCTTGTTATTTTTCTTTTCTTTTTTTTTTTTGTTTTTTTTTCTCTTATCGTCATGCTCGGTGAAGCGTGACATGCTACGTGAGTGAAAAAAAGTTGGAGAAGCAAAGAGGCGGTCCCCGTGCGAGGACTACCTTTTGCTTAAGTAATTTCGTGTGATCGAGATTGTAACGTGAGAAGAGAAGAAAGAAAAGGGATTAAAGGTGAGACTAAATGCCACGAACCGATCCAGACGAATTGAGGGAGTTTGACGTCGTTTGGTCTCCTCTGTCTCGCACTGAGACCGCGAAATTATCTGCGAATTATCAGTCGGGATCGGTCCGTGACACTTTTTAAAAATGAAGCAAGCTATCGATCGAATCTTTGATAAGAATTGTCTCAGTTCGGTGCATCTACGAATACAGAAATGTTGCACGAAATCCATTAAGTCTCAATGAGCAAAGAAATCGCAGCGATCTCGATGGTTTCGTGCTCCGTTTCGTTACGTAGGATCGAGATTACATACAATCGTCATTCAACCGGTTAATCTTGCTGAACCATCGACTCGCTCGTATCTTAATTATCGTCTATCGATTGAGCGAGAGGCACAACGAGAGACGACAGACAAAAAGTAAGTGAACAAGTCGAGTGAACGTGAGTAATCGTGAGTCGAGTGAACAAAGTAGGTGACAGAAAGGAGTGAATGAACGTATCAGTGAGAAAGAAGGACAGCGAGAGTATGAGTAAAATATCATTGCGACTGACATGTATATATATATAAAAGAAAGAAAAAATGAAAAATGAACGAACAAGTTGATCTATGATATACGGTGTGATTGCTGTCGAGGCGAGATCGAGAATGAATATCGACAAATCCAAATGTCGACATGATAGATAAATGGAGAGCATTTCGATTTACGCAGAATGACACGAACTAGCCTCGTTTTGCCAACCTCGAGGAATTGCGAAAAAGAATCAACGTGTCTCAATTAAACAATACGTTGCGTATAAGCATCTATTGTTAGGTTCGTTTTCAGCTACTAAAAATCTACTGTCTTGCCTCGTCTTGTATCTATGTACTCCCTAAGTCCGCCGAACGAAGGTATTTAGGGTACTGACTGGATGTTACTAGTGTGACTCCTAGCTGTATTGCCTGTATTGCTGATCTCATCTACAGTCATGACAATCATCCTAAGTAGTAGATGGTAGTAGTGGTAGATTAGTAGGTCCTAGCAGGTAACATTGCACAGCTGTAGTCTCGCATAGTAGATGGTGGTGATGGTAGTAGTAGTAGTAGCAGTAGTAATAGTAGTAGTAGTAGTAGTAGCAGTAGTAGTAGTAGCAGTAGTAGTAGTAGTAGTAGTA